CCGATTAATCTGTTCTGCACATGAGCTGACACGCATGGCACTGCATCATTTGTATTTATAGAAGCCACAACATGCACGTCAGTGCAGTGAAAATGGCGGCAGCGTGCTTTTGAACTGAAACACCTTCTATGTGTTTTAGTTCAAAAGGGGACTACCATCACCTTCTGTGCGCTGACGTGCATTTTGCAGCTTATAAAACTGCGAGCGACACAGCACCAGGCATTTTTCAAGGCACCCAGCGCTGTGGCGCTTTCATATGTAGAAATGCCCAAAGTGCCACAGGAAACAGGTGGGTTAGATCTTGGAAATGCAATTCCTGTGCAATGAAAATGGTGGAAGCAATTGGGGCTACCTCAAATAAAGATGTACAGGTGGTTTTTGATGGACATATGCGGTCATACTTGGCACAAGATAGGGATGATTAGCCCTAGTTATGGAGAGAGATCAGATACCTAGTACTAGTAGACTTACTCTTTTTTTTTCCTTTTCCTCTGGAGGAAAGACCCAGTTATCTGGGGTAACAAGACATGTGGTCTCCTGTCTAGGAGTCAGGGAAGGAGGGTTAATCACTACGAACTAGAATGCAATGGCATTGCCTTTAGCAGCTGTACATCTCAATATTTAACAAGTGTGAATTGCCTTTCTGTGCCTAAGCTTTTTAGGAGATTAAGTTATCAATGTGAATCTGAAACCTGCAGCCATAATGGTCCTGTGCTCCGTTCTGAAGCTGTTATACCACTGGACGCTTCAAAGAGGCAGTGAATGGATGAGTGGAGCTCTGCATGGACCACTTACAAGTGAATATCATTCCCCATTAAGAATTCTTATGCTGAATATGTGTTCTGGATACCAACTAGCCCTAGATGAGCAGAGGACCATAAAAGGACTGAAGAAAAGTTCTTTCAAAAGAGCATCAGTCCTCTTTTCTACACTGGAAGCTTGTTGCTAAGTAAAGGCACAAACTGAGTTCTGTGGCACCTTTTATAGATGTGAGAGGGAGACATTTCTCAGGTAGACTCTCTCTTGAATGTAGTCTAATGTGCCTGTAGGATGTGATGTTGTTAGAATTGGACATAGGCTGCTGCATTTCAATAATCTCCGGGGAAATGTTGTTTCTTGAGAGCTGTTCCCTAATATCACACAACTTTCAGACCTTTGGAAGAGCTGTTTGTGTTTTCCTTTGGACCAAGCTGCGGTCCAATGCCTGTGATCTCTAACGAACCACAGTGTCTCCAGAGGGGCTGTGGGACTTTGAGAAGTGGTTGATCAGTTGAGACCACATCGAAGGCTTAAGTAGTTTGCTCCCATTATGTGTTGGAGCATTGCACCACAATGCATAAGATCCATAAGGACAAAGAGCTTGTGGGGATAAAATGGAAGGAGAAACTGGATTGGACTGAGCAGAGGAACTTCACTGAGCTATTCTGTGAAGCATGTTAATGTCTGTACAAAGTTATCTGTATATCATTAAAATGTGCCCAACTTGGATCTGGGTTCACTTGGTTGCCCTCCTCTATGCTTCATCCTGTTCTGTAATAATGTGTTAGCTGCTGAACTTCTGGTGGTTTATGTGAAATACCATAACATTGCACTGTATCAGAAGTCTATATTATGTTTGCTAATGTAACCGTTCTATAAACAGTTTTGTATGTTAGGCAAAATTAGGTCCAAGTATGAATTCCATTCCATTATCCCTTGGTTGCGAATTATGCTGAATCAAGGAAATGCAGATAGATAAAAATTCTGTAACATTGTACAAAACTGGCTAGATCATCATGCTCACTGGGTACGTTTACACATGCATTTGATCCAGGAGCAGTTTATTGACGAGTAAACTACTCAGGAGCAAATGCTTCTGGACAGGCGTCTACGTGCGCAAAGAAGTGGGAGCAGATATGCTATTAATGACAGGAAACAGCTCCCTGCAATGGGCCCCTGCTGTTACCAAAGGGAGCTTCAGGCTCCCCCTGGGTACTAGCCCAGGGGCTGGCAAGGAGCACTGGGCCAGGAGTCCAGCTGTCTCCTGGCCAGGGCTGGTACATTGCTCCTTGCCCCCGAAGCAGGGATAATGTCCCCCTGCCCCAGCAGCAGGGAACTCCTAGCCCCAGTTCCCTGATTGGAGCAGGGGACTTGAAAAGAGCTGCAGCAGAGGGGCAGGTCCCAGCCCCCTCCCCCTCTGCCAGTCGGCAGCTAGTAGTGAGCCCCCAGATGAGCAGGAAATCCTGGCAATTCTGGGTGGGGAATCCTAGAAATCCCTGCCCAGCTGGGGGCTCACTACTAGCTGCCCCACTTTGAGTTTAGGGCCCTACACTTTAAAAAAAGATGCCGACAGATTGGAAAGAGTCCAGCAGAGATTGACAACCATGGAAAGCATGACTTCTGAGGCAAGGCTAAAAGAGCTAGGGTTATTTAGTCAGAAGAAGAAAAGACTCACAGGGGTTTGAAAGCAGTCTGCAAATGCCTGAAGACCAATTACAGAAAGAATGGAGATGGGCTTGTCTCTGTGGCTGTAGGGAACAGGACTAGGGGCAGTGACCTCAAGCTGCAGCAGTAGAAACAAGTTGGAGATTAGGAGGAACTTTCTGTCTATGAGGGTGTTCAAGCATTAGAAGAGGATACCTATGACAGTAGAATCACCACCTTTGGAAATTTTCAAGAGCAAGGTAGACAGTCATTTGGCAGAAATGGTTGAGCAGAGATGGATCCTGTCTTGAGTAGAGGGCTGGACTAAGTAAGTTAGTCCCTTCCAGCCCTACTTTCCCATGATTCAACGTATGAACCACCAGTGGTGGTTAAAACTGGATTAAATGAATCCAGAAGGTTATTAGTTTTCCATTCCAATATAGATTAGTTATGTATTTCTTTCCCACCAGCTAGAGACTTTATATGGCTGAGTTTGCTAAGGCAAAATTTGGTCAGTAAGTTCTGAGGCAGTTCTTCTTGTTTAAGGGTTGGAAAAATGAACCTTCAAAATGAGAATTAAACACATCCAAACAGTAGCATTAACTCTTATCCAAAATCCTGCTGCATACAAGGCGTCTTCTAGTGGGTGCTGGAGCCAGCATTCCCTCTAAGCTGTGTTGCATGTGTGGCCATGCAGGTGCATACCCACACAGCTTAGAGGGAACGCTAGATGGAGCACTTAGGGAAGGGTGCATCCTGTAACTGCATTGCATGTACACTGATAATAAAAAAAAGGTTTTATTTAATGCTAAATTTATTGGCAGCACAGCAAGCCTGGTACTCTGCCTATAATTGCAGGCTATTATACCTCTGACAGTGACTGCTTTGTCTGGGAGTGGAAGCAAGACCTCTCTTCTGTCACTTACATGGGTAGATCCAGTGATGTAGAGAAGCTGTTAGGAAAACTCCTTGATGCCACTAAATGCAGCGTTAAAACAACAACCTGTAATTTCAAGTCCTGACAGCCCTGCCGTGGTGTGTGATGCCTTATTCTAGACTTCATTCTTGCCAAAGTGCTACTGTTTTCTGACACCAGTAATGACTTGAGAGACATGAGAGAAGTGTGAGGAGGAATAGCAGTCATACAGCTCATTGGCTACACCCTATTGGCCCCACCCCAATACCCACCCCCTCCTGAGTGCTGAGTGCCCTCAACTCCTATGGACTTCACAGGAGTCAGAGGCTCTCAGCACTTTGCTGGGAAGGTCCCATCTTGCAGAGTTGGGCATTTTGGGAGGAGAATCTGCTGGCAGCAATGAAATGTTACTTGGCTCTATGAATGCACCCATTACTAAATCACCTCTCTGTTAGATCTCTAGGTAGCCTGCAGGGGGTGGAGGGTAGTAGCTGCAACAGTGAGAAAAATGATCATGTAACTTGCCACATGTTTTATTATTTATGATGTACTAAGTGCTGGGTACAAACCAGGTGAGAGACAGACCCTGACAATGATCTAAATAAAGGGCACGAGAGGAAACAGCTGGAGTGACTTGGCAAAGCCAAGACTAGAATCTTATTGATCCTATAATAGCTAGACAACTCTTGCTTATCAGGCTGATGAAGTCTGCTTCTTTGTTAACTAGTACTCCCATGTGTCAAGTATATCCATAGAATATTTCTTGTCTTGTCATAGAATCATAGAAAATTAGGGTTGGTAGGGACCTCAGGAGGTTCTCTAGCCCAACCCCTTGCTCAGAGCAGGACCGTCCCCAACTAGTTCATCCCAGCCAAAGCTTTGTCCAGCCAGGTCTTAAAAACCTCCAAGGATCGAGATTCCACAGCCTCTCTGGGGTACCTGTTTCAGTGGTTTACCACCCTCCTAGTGCGAAAGTTTTTCCTAATATCTAACTATGGCAGAGCACTTTCAGTGCCTGCCACTTTAAGGGCTGAGAGCAGGCAGCCAGTAGGTGCAGGCCAGCCCTGATGAGGTAGCCTTTTTAGATCCAGGATTCCAGGGCTGAGGCAGATGTTTGCTATAAGCAGCTGAAGGGGCAACAACACCCAGCTGAGCTGCTGCTCATGGAACACCTTGGAGGTAAGAGAGGAACTAGGGGGATGGCAGGAGGTTCTTAGGGGTCCAATGGAGTCCCAAGCCCCAAGGAAAAGGCAGTGGGCCTAGATAGAGCAAGGCCCAGACTAAAAAGGGGGATTAGAGTTGTGGGCCTGAACAGGGGCTAGGCAAGCCCCTGATTAGAGCTGGCAGGGGTGAGGCCAAGGGCTCAGGTGAGCCCTGTTGAAAGAAGAGGTGCTCTGGTAAGATCTTTGGGGCTCTAAGCAAGCCTAATGGGAGATGGCTGTATGGTGGGGCCCAGAAGAAGACCCCAGTTCTCCATGGAGGGCAGCAGCTGCTAGGTTAACTGTCTGATCCCTTGACTGGTCAATGTAGGGGGCCAGGGCTGAAAGGCCGAAGTGCAATTGAGCTCACCATGAGGGGCAGGCCAGGGCTGTGGAGAGCCATCTGGCACCCTGACAGGCCTGGAGGTGGGGTCAGAGCCTCCAAAAGGCCAAAGGTCCTCTCGAGGGGGAGGACATCACAGCCAAAAGAGGGTAGGGGTTAGTCAGCATGCATGCTTCTATGAAGGTGGTAGTCATCAGAAGGAGGGCCTAGCAGGGTGAGCCACCCAGGAACAACACATACCCCAGCAGGGACAAGACCAGGGCAGGTAGGCCTGCTTGGTACTGGGTAAGACTGAAAACTGCACCCTGCTGGGGAAGGATAGTTTGGTAGGGCTCTCCATGGTGGGACAGTACCCTAGAAATGCCAGGCCAGTTACCTCCCTAGTGAAAGGCGGGTACGGGCACCTAATAACCCCAGCCCCTGCCATTAGCTGGGTCATTAAGACAGGAGGGTAGTGGGGCCAGGCATGCCTATGAGGAGGCATCTGAGCCCAAGGGGTGCAAAACCCCAGTGGCCCCAGTGTGGGGAACTGTAGTATTGTTGACCCCAGGAAGAGGGCGGTTAGGCCCTGGTAAATCCTCGGACTCCTGAGGCCGCAAGTGGGCCTGAGGTCAAGTGAGGCACCTCAGTGGGAGTCCTGGGTGGAGAGTAATTGGCCCTAATGAGGGAACAAGAGTGATAAGTTACCCAGAGAGGGCCTTGGGTCAGGGCTTCACCCAGGGTGAGGTGAATTGGCTGCTCACCATTTAGATGAAGGTCATGAGAGGGCCCACGAGGCTGAGCCAAAGAGTGTGAGTAGGCAAGCCTGAGGGCCTATGCGGTCATTCAAGGGAGCAGGGGAGGTTGGATGTGACTCAGTGAGGGTCAGCAGGTAAGAAGTCCAGTAAGAGTGGAAGGAGTGCAAGAGGCCCGGTGAGAGCAGGTGGGGTGAATGAGGCCTGATGGGGCAAAGTGAAAGTCCGAATGCATGAGGCCTAGCAGGGGGCTGAGTTTGGCCTGGCCAGAATCCGTAGGAAAGAGCAACTCAAGGATGCCATCTGTGAGGCATGGGACACAGTAAGGGAAGGTTGGAGTCACGTGTAATGCCCATGTCATCTGGGCACAAAAATGGGCAGCCTCCCGCTTATTGTAACACCATTCTACATTACAGCAAAATCATGGTAGGTGAGACCAGGCATACTGCCCTAGACAGGGAGGCGGACCAGTACTGTGACCGGGCCCAGGGGGTTGCCCCCTGTCACACTAACCTAAACTTTCCTTTTTGCAACATGAGACCATTGTTCCCGGTTCTGTCATCTGCCACCACTGAGAACAGTTCTGCTCTATCCTCTTTTGAACCCCACTTCAGGTAGTTAAAGGCTGCTATTAAATCCCCTCTCAATCTTCTGTTCTCCAGACTAAATAAACCCAGATCCTCAGCTTCTCCTCAATAATCAAGGCCCCCAGCCCCCTAACGATTTTTGTCCAATTTGTTCACCTCCTTTCTGGAGTGACGGGGCCCAAAACTGGACACAGTACTCCAGATATGGTCTCACCAGTGCCGAATAGAGGGGAAGAATCACTTCCTTCAATCTGCTGTCAGTGATTCTACTAATGCAGCCAGTATGTCGTTAGCCTTCTTCATAACCTTCATAGCCTTCTTCATAGAGGAAATGAGGTTGATGTCATATACTTGGACTTCAAAAATGCCTTTGACCTGGTCTCCTATGATGTCCTCATGATAAAATTAAGCATCCCCCACACACTTGGAGGCAAACCCGGAAGTGAACCGGAAGTATTTCTGGGTCGGCCACCAAGTGCTTCCAGTCCACTTCCAGGTCCTCCACGGAGCATGCAGGAGACCCCTTTGCATCCCGCTGGCTCAGTGATTGGCCACGGGCAAACCCCAGGTGCTCCCCCAGACCCAGGAGGCACCTAGTTGCTGAGCAAGGAGGGGGGTCCCCCGTGCACTCCATGGCAGACCCAGAAGTGGACCAGAAATACTTCTGGTCTGCTTCTGGGTTTGCCACTGAGCACACAGGGGACACCTCATGCTCCCATGAGATGCTCCATCTGCACTATCTCAGCCATCATGAGCCACGCCTGGTACCTCAAGGGACATAGAGAAAACATATAAAGTTGTGTTTATGGCTGAATTGTCGAATCTCTCTGAATTGATTCAGAGGCTTCTGATTCAATTCAGAGAGATTAAAGGGTCTCCCAATTCGATTCAGATTTGGAGATTTGGCCACCATGTTGGGCAGAATCTCCTCCGAATTGAATAGGCGACTGAAGCTTTGCACAGCCCTACTATTCACCAAGGTCCCCCGGGGGAGGACAAGAAATAATGGGCACAAGCTAATTGAAGATTGCTTCAGGCTAGACATAAGGAAAAACTTCTTTACAAACCAAGTGCTAAAGGTTTGGAACAGGCTCCCCCAGACAGTTATTACTGTACCCTGGCAATCTTCAAAAAACATCCCGATGCCCATCTAGCTGGGATCATTTGATTCCAGTAGTCTTTCCTGCCCATGTGCAGGGGGGCCAGACTCAGTTAAGGTCTCTTCCAGCACCTAACCACTATGAAACTATAACAAAGACACACTGCTGGCTTATATTCATTTTATTGTCCACTGTAACCCCCAGGTCCTTTTCTTTAGAGATGCTGCTTATGCAGCAGCTTATGCTTATCCGTAAACTTTTATTAAAACTTTGGTCACATCTCTGGGGGCTAAATCATGTCCCATGCAATGGGTGACTAGCAATGTCACAATGCAAGTAATTCTAATAATAATTAAAAATGTTGTGTTCCAGTAGCATGGGGAAGAAAGTTTGCTGTTGTCATTTCTCATTTTTTCTGCAAATTTCTGTATAGATTTATTTAGAAAGCCAGTTGTAATCATAGTGCCACTCCTTTCTGCTGATATTTCTTGTGAAGATGCTGGATCTCCATAAGTGGCTTCTTTTATTATGAGCATTGTTTTGCCCATCTGCCTTTCTTGTTTTCTGGAATTACATTTTCTGCCTATGATTTCCCCTCTTGAGCTTAGCACAAAGCCTGTTGGTCTTGCCTATAAGTTTTGCTTTTTTTCCTTTAACACCAGCTCCAACTTCGCTCTTATTTGTGTAATTCAGTCGTATTTGTATTTCCTGCCGAACACTCTTCCCTCCTCTGTAATTTGTAGTTTACAGTATTCATTGAGGGTTTCTTCCTTCCCTTTTTTGAGGAAAAAGTCAGCTTTGTGCTATCATCCATGCAGTCTGATCTATTCTAGATTCTGCTATTCTTTTTTCCCCCTGTTCTCAGTACTTTATTACCTAAGGGTTGCCTTTCTTCTTAGCATAACACCTTCTTTGCCTGCAACTTTTTTCATTGCTTTTTTGCCTTTGTCATTTAATATTGTGAGGTGTTTCTCTGAATTTCTATTTTTTCAGTAGCATATTTTTTACTTGTCTGTACATTTGTTTCCCCACCCTCCCCCAAACAATCTTTGTTTTCTTCTGTCTATTTGTCACATATAGTGTTCTTGCTCGGTTGTTGTGACAGTTCTCAAGGCAGACTCTTGTGATGAGGAATTCATTGCAGTATACCCTCTCCTCTGCCACAGATATGAGGGCTCCCCAAAGTCAGCAGATGTGCCAGTGCTATTCAAAGCAATGGGAGCAGGAGCAGGCTCCTTGTGGGTGCTGACAGAAGTGGCATTTGTCATGCACTTGGCCCCTTGAAAGTGCTGTGCTGCCATACCCCGATAGAAGTGCACAGCTGCAGTGTTTTAAAAGTGTCTGTTCATGCAATAAACTAACACTCATTACATGAGGGTTCAGATGAAGGCATTCCAAAGTGGAGCACCTTCATTAACTTCTGTCTGTCCCTGCTCCTCTCCAACTCAGGCTGGGGAAACCCTGACCCACAGCTCCTTCAACCTCCCATCCTGCAGGCAGCACTAGAGCTGGGGTCTAGGGAGAGAGACAGGCAGCTCCTCCTAGATCAGCTCCAAAGTGGAGCTCAATCTTCACCCCCCGCCCTCCCCAACCCAACAGTGAACATCTGTTGGGTTGGGAGAGTCACTGTAACTCACGGTGATTTCTGCAAAGCATCATGAGTTAGAGCAGGGAGCTGCACATCTGTTAATGCCCTGTGTTTTGCCACTTCACTTCATTCAAACTTGCTGTTATCAAACGCTTACTGGTAACCAGCCAAAGTCTTTTGCTGACTCAGTAAGCAAAGCCCAAGTATAAAAGGATTCACTTTGCTTTCATGCCGTGTAGTAAAAAGAGAGCAGAATTACTTCTATCTTGATGAAGTCAATGACATTACACTGATCTGAACCAGCTGGCGTAGGAGGTGAAATTCTCACCCCACCCCACCTCCAGCTTTAGGACAGGGGTGCTCAACCATGTTATCTGGCCTGCTGGACTTCCTCTCCACAGGTCTGAACATTTGGCAGTGGGGGAGTAGTGGCAGGTGGGGCAGAAATCATCCATGCTTCTGATATATCACAGTTAGCAGCTCCCACCATAACCTCCATTCCATCTTTCTGTGCTTTCAGCCCCCAGACCTAAGCACTGACTTAGTTACAATTTAAAAGTGAGTGGGACTCAGGTTGAAACAATAACATCTCCGTAGCCCAAATCTATGTGGTTGACCATGGAAAATTGTGAGTGCTATGCTTGGCAGAACAGATGTGGCAACTCCATTTTTCACTATTTACATTATTTTCCATGTGGGCAGGACCTCTAGTGGAGCATCTAATCTAGCTGTCTCATTGCTTGCATTTAGTTTGGCTAATCCCTAAACAAGCAAATAACATTTATAAACTCTGACTGTCCCTGAGCCATCATAGCAACTTGAATTTTTTCCTCTGGTTTGAAGTGTGTTGCTAACTTAAAGTTGGAGCAAATCATTTCAGAAATGTTGCATCCGAATGCAAAATGTTAGCACTTTAAAGCAATATATATCTATGAACACACAACATATTTATGTTGGGGTAACTGATCTTCACACCTGTATAAACAAGAAGCAAAACAAGAAGCAAACTCATAGTAATCCCCTATCTCAGGGTAATTTAATCCAGTCTGAAGTAGAATTGCCCTGAAAAAAGAAGGGTAAAGCTATAGAAGAATAGGTTACACTAGTATAGATGATCTCTGTCCATGGTTTATCTTGGGGTAG